TGAGGGACAGGAGGGCCAGGAGGAGGGACGAAAGAAAGGAGGTAGAAGAGAGGAGGCGGAGGAGAACAAGGAGGATGAGGAAGCGAGGAAGAGGACGAGGAGGGAGAAGGAAGGAGGATGATCAGGAGAGGGGGGGGGGTGAGGATGAGGAGGAGAGGTAGAGGAGAGGGGGAGGAGGATGGATGAGGAGGAGGAGGAGGGAGGATGCGGATGCCGAGGAGGAGGAGGAGGAGGAGGAGGTGGAGGAGGAGGAGCAGGAGGAGGAGGAGGAGGAGGAGGAGGAGGAGGAAGACGAGGAAGAGGAGGAGGAGGAGGAGGAGCAGGAGGCGGCGTCGGAGGAGGAGGAAGAACAGGATGAGGAGAAAGAGGAGGAGGATGAGGGGGAGGAGGAAGATGAGTGGAAGATGATGCTCCTGCTGCTGTTGATTGTGATGGTGTTTGTGATGTGGATGATGATGATTCGGATGAAACTTCTAATGGTGATGATGCTTATGCTTATGCTGATGCTGATGATGATGCTGCTGCTGCTGATGATGTCCAGGATGGGGATGAGGTTAGGATGTTGATGGTGACGATGGTGATGATGATGACGATGATGATGATGATGCTGATGATGCTGGTGCTGATGCTGATGCTGCAGCTGATGCTGCTGTTGATGATGATGCTGATGATAATCAAAGTGCTGCTGCTGATGATGCTGGTGGTGGTGATGATGCTGATGATTGTGCTGATGCTCATGCTGCTGATGATGATGCGGCAAACGATGATGATGATGATGATGATGATGATGATGATGATGATGATGATGATGATGATGATGATGATGCTGATGCTGATGCTGATGCTGATGCTGATGCTGATTCTGATGATTATGATGATGATGATGATGATGATGATGATGATGATGATGATGATGATGAGGCTGCTGATGCTGATAATGATGATGGTGATGATGATGCTGATGATACTAGTGATGATGCTGATGATAACGGTGATGATGCCGATGAGTATGACGCTGATGCGTCTTATGATGGTGGTGCTGATTCTGATGGTGTTACTGCTCATGCTGCTGATGGTGATAATGATGACGCCGGCGACGATGCCGATGGCGATGATGCTGATGATGATGATACTGAGAATGCTGATGATGCTGATGATGCTGATGATGCTTATGATGCTGCTGACGATGATGCTGATGATGCTGATTATCATGATGCTGATGCTGCTGCTGATGATGATGTTGATGATGATTATGAGCACGGCGACGACGATGATGCTGATGATGATGATCATGATGCTGATGATGATGATGAGGATGCTGATGCTGATTTTGTTGATGATGCTGGTGATGATGAGGCTGCTGATGTTGATGATGCTGATGCTGATCCTGATGATGATGCTGATGATGATGATGCTGACAATGATGCATACGGTGACGACGACGGTGATGATGCTGCTGATGCTGATGCTGATGCTGATGCTGATGCTGGTTCAGACGATGACGACGAGGATGATGCTGATGACGAAGATACTTGTACTGCTGATGATGCTGATGATGCTGATGCTGATGCTGTTGCTGGTGATGCTGATGCTGACGATGATGTGATGATGCTGCTGCTGGTGATCATTATGATTAGGCTGCTGGCGACGGCGATGCTGATGCTCATGCTGATTCTGATGATGATGATGCTTATGATGCTGAGAATGCTGATGATGCTGATTGTGATGATGATGCTGCTGCTGATGCTGATGATGACGATGATGCCCGGGCTATGCTGCTGCTGCTCATGATGGGGAGGATGGGGAGGAGGAGGAATAATGATCATACTACTGATGATGATGATGATGATGATGATGATGCTGCTGATGATGATGATGATGCTGATGGTGATGATCCTGCTGATGATGATGCTGATGCTCATGATGCTGATGATGATGCTGCTGATGATGATGATGATGATGATGATGCTGATGATGATGATGATGATGATGATGATGCGGATGCTGATGATGACGTCGCTTTCGATGATGCTGATGATGCTGATGATGATAGTGATGTGGAGGAGGAGGACGAGGAGGAAGATGAGGAGGAGTAAGGGGAGGAGGAGGAGGAAGCGTAACTGTCGATGTGGGTCAGGAAGGAAGGACGATGATGAGTAAGAGTAACTGTCGATGAGGGCCAGGAAGGAGGGACGATGCTGATGATGATGAAGACGATGATGATGAGGATGTTGCTGATGATGATGGTGACGACGATGCTGATGATGATGCTTATGATGATGACGATGACGATGACGATGACGATGATGATGACGGTGATGATGATCATGATGATTTTGATGATGATGCCGATGATTTGGATGATGTGGATGATGATGATGTCACGATGGTGATGCTGTTTATGCTGATGACGATGCTGATTCTGATGACGCTGATACTGGTGCTGATTATGATGATGATGAGGATGATGTTGATGATGCGGACGAGGATGATGCTGCTGATGATGATGCTGTTGCTGATGCTGATGCTGCTGCTGCTGATGCTGATGATGAAGCTGATGCTGCTGCTGCTGCTGATGGTGATGCTGATGACGATGGTGATGATGATGATGATGATGATGATGATGATGCTGATGTTGATGCTGACGATGACGATGATGACGATGATGACGATGCTGATGATGATGATGATGATGATGATGCTGATGATGATGCTGATTATGTGGATGATGTGGATGATGATGATGATGATGATGATGATGATGATGATGATGATGATGATGATGATGATGATGATGATGATGATGATGATGATGATAATGATGCTGATGCTGATGCTGATGCTGATGATGCTGATGATGATATGATGCTGATGATGATGATGATGATGATGATGATGATGATGATGATGATGATGATGATGATGATGATGATGATGATGATGATGATGATGATGATGATGATGATGATGATGATGCTCATGCTGATGATGCTGCTGATGATGCTGATGATGAGGAGGATGAGGAGGAGGGGGAGGCCTGGAGGAGGCCTGCACGCTCCCCCTCCCCCCAGGGCTGGAGGGTGGCGGTGCCGTCCGTGCACTGGTGGTTGAGCGCCTTCTGCTCGCGGTTTCACGAACTTGCGCGGCGGGACTTCCCGGGCGGGCACGACCTAGGCTTGCGGGGCTCATATTGAGGATGGGGGGGAGGGGAGGAGGAGGAGGAGTTGGAGAGGAGGAGGAGGAGAGGAGGAGGAGGAGGAGGAAGGAGGGAGGAGATGGAGGGAGGATGAGGAGGAGGAGGAGGAGGAGGAGGAGGAGAGGCGGAGGCGGAGGCGGAGGCGGAGGAGGAGGAGGAGGAGGAGGAGGAGGAGAAAAGGAGGGAGGGGGGAGGAGGGGGAGGAGAGAGAGAACGAGGAAGAGCAGGAGGAGGAAGATAAGGAGGAGGAGGATGAGGAGGAGGAGGAGGAGGAGGAGGAGGAGGAGGAGGAGATGGTGGATGACTACGACGATGGCGAGGATGATGTCGTCCTCCTCGTTCTCGTCGTCGCCGTCTTCCCCGCCCCCCGCCTCGTCCTCCTCGTGCTCCTCGAGTCGAGTCGTCCTTCTCGTTCCCTTCTCTTCGTCGCCCTGCTCAATGCAAGGTTGCCGGTTTATCATCATTGGGACGAGGAGGAGGAGGTGGAGGAGGAGGACATGGAACAGCAGGAGTAGGAGGACGAGGAGGAGGATAATCAGACAATCATGAAGACAACGATGATGTCGAGATAGACTGGTCTTGAGGAGCTGCCAGAGGCGGAGGAGGAGGAGATGAGGATGATGAGGAGAAGGAGGAGGAGGATTAACAGTGTAAACCCGATTCGCACCAACGATATTGCAGTGCACCCTGCCTCCAAGTTCCCTCCTGGCATGCCCCTACGCAGTCTTTGTCACTGAGGCAAGTGCCCCCTTGGAAGACAAACCGTCTGAAAATCTCGACTTGTGCCGGAAGACCAATCCTGTGGCTGCGACGTCGCGAATCAACGTTACTGTTGCGTCCTGACGATCCTGCAACGTGCCCGCATCGACGCATCACCAACGACCTAAAAATCTCGCGAAGATCTGAGTGGGGCTCCGGCCCCCCCCGCCGTCGCCTTCGAGGCGCCCGCCGGCGTGCTCCGAACGCGGACGCGGCGATCGGCGCCCGCCCGTGCGTCCGGATCTGGAAGCGTGCCAGAACGTCGTTCTTGGGACTTCAGCACCGCGAATCAGCGTGACTGTTGAGCCCTGGCAGTCCTGCATCGTTCCAACAGACACGTGGGACGTCGTCGAGGACCATCGGGGAGCATCTTGGCCATCTGGCGAACAAGTTGGCGCACGAAGCCGAAACATGCACGGGGAATGGACGTCCGAGCGATGGCAAGTCCTCCTTTCTACCTCTTCCTCTTTTTTCCCGCCTTTGGAAATCTCCCGAGCCATTTGGAATCCTTTGAAAACCTTTGGAACCCTCTGGAGGCCTCCAGAAATCCCAAGCCCTGGGGCACATTCCAGAAAGGTGGAAATGTTTCTAGAGACGTCCAGAAGCATTCCAAACGCCGCCGAGAGCCTGCGAGAACCGATGGTTCCTACCAGGACTTCTCGGAGGTTCCAACGATCGGGGTCCGGAGCCGTGACGTTCAGCTGCGCCCGTGGCACTGGTGCCATGCTCCGCGCTTGCTATCAGGCACGGGGATTGTGCATTCGGCTGGGAGGCGGGGCCACGGGGTCCGTGAGCTCCGTGGGTCCATGGGGCCTTCGTGCTCGCCTGCCCCGGGTTGCCAACCTAGCTGCACATGCCAGTCGACCTGGCTGGGGGTGGTGGTCGGGGAACACCTTCGGGGTGACGAGGTGAGCCGACCCTCCCCCGCACGAGCCCTGCCATCTCGTCTGGGGCAGCGAGTCACGGGGCGACGAGGCGTTTGCCTGCCCCCCGCCCTTCTCTCGTGCTGTGCTTACCTGCGGGTGCGCGGCTCCTCCCCTCCTGGGAGGCCAGGGGTGACTGGCTGTCTCGGGAAAGCACCGTCTGGGTGAAATGAGAAGCAGAAGGCCTTCTCAGAAGGCGGCGGGACTTCTCAGAAGGCCTCGCGCCTTCTGAGAAGTTCTGTTCGTCTTCGGGGCAGAAGGCCGGGGGACTTCCGAACCTTCTTAGAATGCCTTCTTTTCACTTCCCCCCTCGCTCGCCGCCGACTCTGGCAGAGTGGCCCTCGGAAGGGCCCTGTGCTCCCGAGAGGGTCCCCTCCGCTCCAGCTCGGCGGCAGGCCCGGCGCCTTCCTGCGGCGCCCTTCGCGGGCCCGATCGACGCGTGAGGGCCCCCCCCGCTTGGCCCGCAGCGGGTCGGAGGCGCCCGGCGTGAAAGCACAGCTGACTCAGGAGGGAAACAGAAACACACAGACACAATTAATCGTCGATTTCCCAGAAAATATAGGAAAATATGGGAAGTGGGGGGGAAGACAAAAACCCAGAAAATATGGGAGAATATGGGGGATCCTTTTACTTGTGTGTATTTATTTGTGTGTCCCAGGGCCCCTACACTGACGTGAAGTCCAGCATGTCCCTCTGCAAGAGGAGGACGCAGGAGTTGGTCATCGACATGCTCCTGGGACTTCCCGGCCGCTTCTGGCCTGCTCCGGACCTTTCTTGGCCATCTGCTGTTTTCCTTCCGAAGTCCGCCTGCAGGGGGACATGCCCGACCTGTCGGCACGAACGAAGTGGGTACGGAAAGACTGGGTACGATGCCCAACAGCAGCTCCTGTTGATTTTGGACATCGGAGGTGGATAGACCTCCTACCCTGACACGTCGATTCAGGAATCGGCCGTTTTCGGTTCGCGAGAGGGCGTCGCGGCCGTCATTTTTGCGGGTCCAGGTCCGTCAGTTTCGGTCCAACGCCGTTTTCACTAAGGGGAGGTCTACTAAAGGGAGGTCTGTCCACCGCCGAGAACAGGACTCGCTGTCCGCGCCGCCGCGGCCTGTGTCCATTTGAGACAGAAGGCCGCTTGCCCAACAGCTGTCGCTGTTGGTTTGGGACAACCTTTGTGGTTGGGCACTGTGCCCACTCCTTCCGTACCCACTTCGGGCGTCCAACACTCAGGAGGGAAAAAAACACACAGACACAATTAATCCTCGACTCCCAGGAAAATATGGGAAAATATGGGAATTGGGGGGGAAGACAAAAACCCAGAAAATATGGGAAAATATGGGGACTATTTTTATTTGTGTGTATTTATTTGTGTGTCCTAATTTCCCTTTAAACACCTGGAGCCGACGCCGGGCCACCTCGGTGCCCGAGGGGCTGTGCGCCCCCCGGGGGAGACGAGAGCCCCGGTGCCCCGAGATCCAGCGCACGGAGCAGGTCGAGGGGGCGTGTGCGGCCTCGGGAGGCCCCCGGCGGGCCCCGGGGCCGTCCAAAGCAGCCCAGGACTTACGATGTTCCGACCTGTTTCGGCCTTAACCGCAAGGAGGAATTTCGAGCACTTGGGCAGACACTGTTTCGACATTCCTCTGGGTGCTCGAAAGTATTTCTGGGATGTGGTCCTGAAGTGCGATGGGAGCAACATAACCCATGATGAGAAGCTGGTCCCGGGGGCAAATGGATCGAGACGCCTGGGGGTCGATGTTGAACAAGTCACGACGTCGGATCTCTGGGTCCCCATCCCCATCCCCGTCCCGCCATCCCACCACCCCAGTTGGGGATATACCCCTCGGAGCCCGAAGGGAGCAACCGACATCCCCATCCAGGGGGGTAGATCGATCAGCGGGGAGCCCAGGCCACGCCGGTGGGGATGGGGATCGGTTGACCGATGGTCAGAGCCCCCACCTGGCCCCCAGAAGCAGGGCGCGAGCTGAACTGTGCTTTGGTTGTGTCGTTGGCCGTTCTCGATCTGATCTTGCCTTGGAGCAGAGGCGGAGCGAAGGCAGAACGAGGGAGGACCGACAACAGAGCGAGCCTTGAAAGCCACCCCTAAGGGCTCATGTCGACTCCTCCGATTCGATTGGATTCGATTTCGATGGCTTCCGGTTCCGACTCGATTCGGTTTGGGACGCCGAGTTGTGCTCCGACTTCTCCTTGGACGCGAGATGACCCGCCGACGCCCGCCGCCTCGACTCTTCCCGGCTCGTCTGCCGGTGTCCGCCGACTCGATGCATTCCGATCGCCGATGCGACTCGTCCACTCGATCCCGGGAGCTCCTGCCGTTCGCCCCCCCCCCCCCCCCCCTCGCGAGGA